TGGTCTATTGTGGGGACACAGAGACCTAGCCCTCTACCTCATTCTGTCATCTGAGCTCCAAAGCTCCCTCAGGATGCACTGCAGCCTCTGGGGTAGCTACACCATAGCCCATCTTTCTCTCAACTCAGTTCCAAGTCCTTCACTTCTGACAGTGTTATTGCCAAGAGAAGTCCCCAACAAACCTGCACACAAACCTCTGTTCAAGACTATTTCCCAGGGAACTTGACATAAGACAGTTGTTTTCAAAAGTACATGACTAAGTTCTTTTTAAAAAATATATTTTATTGATTTTTTACAGAGAGGAAGGGAGAGGGATAGAGAGTTAGAAACATTAATCAGCTGCCTCTTGCACACGCCCTACTGGGGATGTGCCCACAACCAAGGTACATGCCCTTCACAAGAATCACACCTGAGACCCTTAAGTCTGCAGGCCGATGCTTTATCCACTGAGCCAAACCAGCCAGGGCTAAGCTCTTCTTTTGCATTAGGAAAAATCTCACATTGTTTTTTTCCTAATTAAAACTTACATTTTTATTCCAGTTTTTTCACCTATTTGTATCCTATTATATTTTGATGATTGAAAGTCTTTTCTTGATCACCCCTTGTCATACTTTTCTGTAACTATATTATATAAATTAAAATTTAAAATTTAATTTAATTATGAACATAGGGTTTTATGTGTTAAATTCTTCAAGGCTGAGCTATCATTGCACTAATTCTTAACATGCATTTAATTAAAACAACATATTCATGTATTATAGATTTTGATAAAACTCATTAAACAGAAATAATAAAAGTAGAAATGCATCTGTTAAGGTAGAGATTTCTATTTTTAATTAGTTTTTGCATCTGTGTACAAATATAATTTACTGCTAAAAGAGTGTGTTCAACATCAGTTGTATTCCATTTTATTTGTGGAAATGCACTAATACAGTATTTGCATGTCACATAAGTAATAGATGGGCATGGAAGTGATTTCATTGTGTTGTGCTGCAGTACCTTCTTTGAACTCCTTCTGAGTGATTTACCAAAAATCACAGGCTGATAAAATTCCAAATAGTATTTTAATGACTTATAACTGACAATGTAATTAGGTCTGCATGTAGCTTTCTTTTTAAAAATATTTATTTTATTGATTTTTTACAAAGAGGAAGGGAGAGGAATAGAGTTAGAAACATCAATGAGAGAAACATTGATCAGCCACCTCCTGCACATTCCCTACTGGGGATGTGCCCCCAAACAAGGTACATGCTCTTGACCGGAATCAAACCTGGACCCTCTAGTCTGCAGGCTGATGTACTATCCACTGAGCCAAACCAGTTAGGGCATGTTTTCTTGAAAACAAAAAATTGAAAGCCACTTGACTTGCAGAAGATTTGTTAATCAGGCATAAAGTTCATTCCTTTCCTCAATATGGACAGTATTCCAAATTGTTCCTTTGTCTCTTGTGACATTCCAGAGACAACACAGGAAAACTGGAAATGAATGAAGAGTCTGCATCTATTGTAAAGAGACAGAGGGGAACTGGCAAAAGGGAAGACTGTGGGTACCAGCCACTCCTCAGGTCCATTTTATGACAAAAGTGCACATGGAGCTTGAAGATATGCAAAGGAGCCTGGCCAGTGGATTCTCTGAACACCTTCATCTCCTGTCAGAGGCGCATCCACACCAGCTGGAAGGTCTCTGTGGCACATTAGTATCAAGATCCTGAAAAACTGCGAGATACTGCCTGTAACTTTGTCTTCAACAAAACCTTTCATACTAAGTATTGATAGATATTTAATAAAGACCGGACACATTTCACAAAGGAGACAGAGAGCCGGTTCTCAAGTAGATTTTGGTGCCAGCTTCTCTATTCCACATGTTTTCTGTGTACCTTATTTTTCCTCAAACGAATGGAGGTATTGCTTCATTCCAAAATACAGTGAAAATTGCAAAGATTGTTAGACAATCTGAGACTTCCAGAAGGAATTTCAAAAGCAATGTGCATTCTCAAATATCCAGCATTTTATCTTACAGTGTTTTGCTTCCTATTAGTTTGAAGAGCATACTGTTCTTGTCATAGGGCATGTTAGGGGGTGGGGGGTGGGGACGCGGAGAGAAACAGGAAAGAAAACAAAAGGGAGAGTTTAAGAGCGACTTTTAAAGAAGTCTAACTATTTTTATTTCCTGTTCTCTTGTACCTCTTGCTGCTGGCCATGATGACAGGGAACTTCTTTGAAGTGTCACAATCAGGTGCTGTAGAAAACTGGAAGGAAATATTATCTAAGGCACATGTGTCAAACACAAGGCCCGCGGGCCAAATCCGTCCCGCCAGGCCTTGCAATGAGGCCCGCACCGCGCTGTCATCACTGCACTCCGCTGCGTTTCCATCACAATGACAGTTTATGACTGTTCAGTAAACCATTCGGCCCACGATTTAGACTGGATTTTAGATTTTGGCCCCTTCTCTGATTGAATTTGACACCCTTAATCTAAGGTCACAAATGGCCTCTCCTCACTGTCCTTGAAGCTGTTGGAATATTTCATTTACTATATAAATTTTTGTGAAGCTTTCTTTTCTTTTATTAATCATTTTCTAAGAGCAATAACGGTGGCAAAACTACTAATCTTTAGAAATGTTAAGTAATTCAACTATACTTTATTTTTTTAAAATATATTTTATTGATTTTTTTTGCCCCCCTCCCTCCCGCCCACACATCCTCTCCCTCCCCAGAGTTTTGTGTCCATTGGTTGTACTTATATGCATGTATAAAAGTCCTTCGGTTGATCTATTATCTCCCCCAGATCTTCCTTCCCTCCTCGCTGTAATTTGATAGTCTACTTGTTGATATACTGTCTCTATATCTATCTTTTGGTTCATCAGTTTATAATGTTCTTTATCATCCACAAATGAGTGAGGTCATGTGGTGTTTCTCTTTCATTGATTGGCTTATTTCACTCAGCATGATGTTCTCCAATTCCATCCAGGTTGCTGCAAATGAATTTATAATGCAAGAGTGCATAAAGTTACAGGAAAGGCTTAACTAAAGAAATTTAAGTAGCCTAATTTTGTCTGCCTTTACTTTGATTGTCTTATTTTCCTCTTGAATTATTTAAATAATTTACTGTACTCTTTGATTGACAGTGACTGGAAATATAACTCTCTTCTTGATGATATGGGATATATTAATGAGATTTAATCTTTCCCCTTATATAACAACCCACTTTGTCACGTAAAGAAAAGTTCCCTGCCCTAGCTTGGAGGCTCAGTTGGTTGGAGCATCATCCGATGACAAAAAAGCATTGTGGGTTCAATGCCTGGTCAGGGGACATACCTAGGTTTCCAAATCCTGGTGAGAACACATATAGGATGCAACTGATCTATGTTTCTTTTTCACATTGATGTTTTTCTCTCACCTCTCTCTCTCTCTCTCTCTCTCTCTCTCTCTCTCTCTCTCTCTCTCTCTCTCTCTCTCTCTCTCTCTCCTCTCTTTTGTCTCTCAAATAAAAAACTAAAATTAAAACCAGTTCCCCATCACCATGGCCAGCAGCAAGAGGTTTAAGAGAACAGGGAATAAACACAGCTACATTTCTTTAAAGTCATTCTCAGACTCACTCTTCTTTCTTTTCTTTGCTAATTTTCCCCCTTTCTTCTACAAGTAAATAAAAATATGTACAGTACTAGCAGAAGTTCACCTGTAGTATCTTAGTATATTCCTAGAAGTTAGTGTGTGTGTTAAAATAGAGTTGGGGGAAGAAGACCTGAGGTTGACCATGACTTTAAACAAGCCACTTAACTTTATTGAATTTCTACTTATCTGTGAAACACTGACCATAATTTTCCTCTGAATGATTGCATGTGTATGAAAGACATGTATGAATGCAGATAATCAATATAAACACATATACTCAAAAATACAGTCCTATGAAACTAATTTTCTCTGCTCCACTCTTTGGAGTTTAAATTTTGTAAGAAAAAGGCATACAATTTAAAAAATTAAGTCTTATTTATAAAGAATAATTCATAGATCTTATCTGTAAACATATAGTTTATTTATGATTTTAATAATGAAACTAGAAAAAAATCAATTCAATAGAACATACAAATAATTTTATCAACATAGTATTTGCTGAGAAAGAACCCATTTGGTCAAACTATCACAACACTGAATTTCATAGTTAAACCCACATGCAGATTGTAGAATTATGTTCAGAATGTTTCAATGAAATGTATTAAATATAAAAATAATCCAATGCAATTTTCATCTAACACATTGTACCAAACATCTTCTTAAGAGAATTAACAAGTTTATAACTTTCCCATAAAGTGCTATGCATTCAAAGTGCTCTGCAGCATTGAGGTTGAGGTCAAGGAACATATACTGTAGAGTTCCATTGTAATTCAGCTCAGTAATCAATGAAATCAGATATAATGTAGATGAAATTCCCTCAGAGGACAGAGATCTATGATGTGCCATCAGTGACACATCCTCAATAGGGGGGTGGGGCTGAAGGACTTCATATACATGTCATCACAACCATAATAAAAATGAGTTAGAAGTTGAATTTGTCACTTTTATAGTGAGTACTCTTTCCTAGAGAAAGAAAAATAGAAAGCGACAGAAAAAGTGATAGACATAAACAAAGAAAAAGTTCACAATATTTCTACAATCCATTTTTTGACTGACACAAAATCCTCAATTCAATCAATTGTCCACGACAGCATATTTCCGACATTAGAGCACATCAGAATTACCTAAAAGGCTTATTGAAACCACCCATTGCTAGACCCCACCCACCGAGTTTCTAATTTAATAGGAATAACATGAGGACAGGAATTAGTATTTGGGATAGTTCCAAATGATGCTGATACCTTGATCACATTTTGAGAATCACTGTAGGCAGCCAGCATGGATTATAAAATGATTTAGGGCAGCAGCTCTCAATTCTGACTACATAGTTGAATCAACCAGATTAAAACAAAACAAAACAAAACAAACAAACAAAACACACACACACAAAATAAAAATAAAAAATAAAAAAACCTGATGCCTACACCTATCTAAAGCTAATTAAATCTGAATCTTTGGGGTGGAAGCAGGGGTGGAATCATTCATGCATTCAGGAAAATGTCTCATGAAAGTCTAATTTGTAATCCAGCTGGAAAATCACTGTTTTAGGAAATTTTCTTTTACCTCAGGTGGAGAAGAAAAGATAGCCAGACATATGTGCCCTTTGGGGTATCAGTATATGAACAAAGACATATTCAAGGAAATAAAAATCTTCAGTGGGCATACTGATACACAGCTATTGCTGATAATATCAGGGAGTAATTCAGAGAATGACTGTGACTGTTGATTTACAATGCACTCCAAGGTTAGTTCACACGTTTGAAATAACAGAATTTGGGAAGGTAAGCAGCACTCTAATTTAATTCAACTTTTTTTTCTAATAAATGACATCAACAGTTGAGAGTCTAGAATGTTGGTATATGTGTTGATGTGCAAGGTTTACCTGCTATAATTATTGTTATTCATTTTACTCAGCTCAATTATTTACTATTATGATTAAAATTTGAGTAACCCCACAAAGAAGGCCCCCAAGGACAAAATCTCACAAGCATTTACCAGTTTACCTTAAGAAGCAAAACTATAGAAACACACACAAAAAACAAAGGGCATTCTGAAATAATATTTCCAGTTTATATCACCCTTCTGGCATAAATAGAAGGAATGAATATTTGTAAGTGATTATACATGGCATGGGATCATTTTACAGGTTCGGGGCAATCTTTAGTATTGAGTATACATAGGAGGATCTTTAGAACTCATTTTCACAGATGGAGTCATAAAAGCCCCAAGCCACAGTTTTTAAATAAAACTCAGGTATGAAACTGAGAGTAATATTTGATCATAAATAAAAAGGAATTACACAAACCCTAGATGTCAGAATTGGGCCTTTCAGATGATCTTTGGTAAAAGTCAGGCATTAGAATACTATGAATTTGACTTGCATATAGACGCCTCAGTTATGTTGAATGTGTGACTTCCTCAGAGTCCTTTATTAGAAATCACTGCCCATAAGAAGGGTGCTTACTGTGCTTCTGATCAGAATGACAGACTAGAAACCAGCTAAGATAAACACAGTCAGTTTACTTAATAAAGATAAAATCAAAAATAAAGATGCTTAGGTGGATCTTTCTCCATTCTTGAAGTCTTCCAGAAGACATCTTTAAAATGTCTTAAAAAAAAAACAACACAAACAATAAAAGAGATAGTAGAACTATGAATATAATCACTCAGGATAGTAGAAACTGGATACTACAGATAAGGAGGCATCAAGGAAATAGCAGGCAAACAAGGAAATGTTAAAAATAATTTTGGTCTTTTGTTACCGTCTTTACTATTTTACATATATTTTATATACAATATATATATATTTCATATTTTAGTATTTTAATTTCTCTTATATATCTATGGCTCTTAATATTATTTTCTTTTATATATGTATGGCTCTTAATAATAATATATACATACCGTATTTTTCGGACCATAAGACGCACTTTTTTCCCCCCAGAAGTGGGGGGAAAAAGTCCCTGCGTCTTATGGTCCAAATATAGCCTACACATATACTTTAAAAAAAAAGTGTTTTTACTTGCCCGGCTCTGTGTGGTCTCTGTGTGCTTGCCCGGCTCTAAAATGGTTCTAAATGCTGCTGTTTACTTTACAGGGTTGATTACATGTGTTTATGACTGTGATGTTGGGTTTTAATGCACATAAAATATTTTAGGACACTATTTGTTTCAGAATCTTTTTTTCTTCATTTCCCTTCTCTAAAAACTGGTGCGTCTTATGGTCCGGTGCATCTTATGGTCCAGAAAAAATACGGTGTATATATATATTAAATTTCATAAAGCTGCAGAAATTAAGGAATAGAGCCCATTTAAGGGCAAATAATCAGAGCCATTCCTTTCAACATTAAAAGGGGAATGAATTCTGTAGCAGTTTGCTTTCTTTCCTTCTGTGGTATATCCCTGGGGCACCTTCACCTCTGTATTGTACCTTTGGGGCCCCTTAAGGGAGATAAGAATCTCACTGTTTCAGAGAGCTATGCTTGCAAAGGCAAAGGGTGTGATTTAGAGTTTGAAGGGGAATAGAGTGGGTCCCTGTGGGTGCTTTGGCGCCTCCTCCATCTTACCCAGCCCAGTCCTGATAGGCTGGGTGCTAAGCAGCACAGAACTGAAACCTGTGTGATGTGTGTATACAAGGACTGATAAGGGGTGAGCCAGCCGAAAAGAGAGGGGACCCAAGGTGGGGTATCTGCTTAATCTTGCAAACAGATCAGGTCTAAACTCACCATCTGCCATGCAGTCTCTTAGGCCTCCTTGCTATTCAGGGAAACATCTGTGTTTTCACTTTCTCTTTGCACTGTGTGCTCTTGTTTCTCTTGGATTTCCAGGCAATTGGCTTTTCCAGGGAGTATTTCCACATCCTGTAGTAGACTCTCTCTACTCAGCTCTGACTCTGTCTGTTGGGATAATCCCAGTCTGACATCTTCAGCCTTGCCTGACTCCTGTCCCCCACCATGGCTCCCCATCTCTGCTTCCCCTCCTTTTTGTTCTGGCCCTAGCTTAGGGGTCTTCTCTTCCAGGTCTGAAGATTCTCCTAGAGCCCCCACCTCAGCCTCTGATGCCCCAATCACTGTCACCTCCTCCACTGTTGGCACCAGCGCTATTTCCTCTCCTGCTACCTTCTCTACAGATGCTATTTTTTCTAGTAACTCATCCACTTTGTGCCAAGTTTTCTCATCAGCAACATCTGAAAAGGGGGAGGCTGTATTTGCTTCTGTTTTTCCCTCAGCTATCTTCAAATCTGCCAACACCTCTCTCTTCTCGTCTACCATTCCTATCACCACTCCTTCCTGGAGATCTCCTTTAGCCACAATCATTCTTTTTTGTAAGCTTTCAACCCCCTCTTTGTGCCCATTCTTCATCGCTCCTGTCCCCAGAGAGCCCCCTTGATCCACCTCTTCCTCTGGGTTTTCATCCATCACTTCCTCACTTAACTTTTCTGCCATCATGGACTCGCCTTCAAAAATATCTTCTTGGGTCATCGCTGTGGCCCCTACACCTTGTTGCCCTTGTAAAGACCCTTCCTTTTCCCTTCTTTCCAGTCCTGCAAGACTATCTTGATCTTCGGCTGTTTGCTCCTGGGCATATCCTGCTGGGTCACTTTCAGGAGCTCCTAACACACCCTCTCCTTCAGGGCCTGGCCCCTCTTCCTGATCTGAGGGAGCCACCTTCTCACCGTTCTCCCTGCAGAGCAGCTCTGCTCTGCCTTTATGCCCTGTGTCTCCAGCTTCTATTATTCTTTCTCCTCCTCCCTCTTTCATCCCACATACTGTATTTTCCAGTGACTTTTCAAATTCAGGTGCTGCTTCAAGCATGGCCCTCTCTCTTGGTGAATCATCCCCTTGCGGGCCTGTGTCTCCAGTCCATTCAGGTCCCTCCACAGGTGCTGCATTCTCAACATCACACTCTGTTTCATCTGGGGGTCCCGGTGTCTCTTCCTTCATAATTTCCCCCTCTTCCCCTTTAAACTTTTGCTCTTCTGCTAAAATATCTTCATCCTGAAGAGCATTTGCCCTTGTAACCTCTTCTGTCTCAGATTCAGTTTCACCCAGAGGTGTTGGCCTCTCAGCTTTCCTCCTCTGTCTTGCTGCATCTAATACCTCTGGTAATCTTTCTTTCCTATCATCTTTCCTATTAGATTCTACCTCAGTCTCAACATCCTTCCTTTTCTCAGCTTTCTCACAAAGTTCTTCGAGGCTTTCCTCAGAAATCCTCAACCTGGTTGTTTCGGTCTTCTCACAAGTGGAGGGGCTCAAAGGTGTTTCGGTTCTCACAACTGTCTTCCTCACTTTGACTGGTTCCTCACCCCCATATACTGCCTCTTTTGAACCATCCTCTCTCTCACATGCAGAGTCATCCTCAGGTGCCATGCCCCCTAGGTCTATGAATGCTTCCTCTTCACTGTCCTCCATGCCTGGCTTTTCAGAGCCTGCCTCACTCACAGACACCCCTCTCTCAGCTTCTCCCTTCTCTGGTGTCAGAGCCAGAAGGGCTGATACCTCCTGAACACATTCTGAGATCTGAGCTGCAGCCTTATTGACAAACACTACCTTCTCTGAACTCTGCTCCTCTTCAGAAGCTGTCTTCTCTGTCTCCAGCAATGTCTGCATCAAGGCCTGCTGTTCAGGAACCTCTTCTTCATTCAGACTTCCAGAGGCTCTTGCTGCTTCTTTTCCCATTTGGTTTAACCCCTCTTCATCCAGCTCTCTAGCCCCTTCTGCCTCTGCCCCACTTTCTTTGCCCTGACGTGTCTCCCTTTCCCCAGTAGACAGTGCTACTAGAGCTGGCTGCTCTGCTGTTGGCTTCCACTCCCCCAAGGGAACCTCATTAATCCCTGTTTTACTCCCCAGTGTTACACCCCCCTTTTCTTCTAGTGTGTCAGCATCCCTGTGATGGGGAACCTCATCTTCTTCCATTGCTGCTTCTTTCTCCAGTGTGTACATTTCTGATGCAACTGGCTTGGATTCCCCGTTTGAGGTGAGGGTTGTGCTTTCTTCCACCATTAAAATCCTGTTCGGTACTATAAAATAAGGTTAGAAAACAAGGTGGCTTTAATCAAAGTTCACAGAGAGGAGATATTATATGTAATATTATGTACTATAAGAGGTATTATATATAATATCAATGGGCCATTGATATTATATATAAAGCATTTCTCTATTCTATGATGATATCAACTATAACATGCATCAAAATGGCTTTTCATGATGAAAAGAAATGCTACCAAATTTAATGGATATATTGATATGAAAGAAAAATTGAGCATCAGAAATGTTGAATACAAACAAAAACTCCATGTCTTAGAATAATAAAATCTCTCTCTCTTTCATACACACACACACACATACTTACCCATCCTACTTTCATTTGAAATATTAGGAACTGCAAAAATTATGCAATAAAAAAGTCTTCAAAGGGATTTCTTATTATTTAACAAGAACATATATTTCTGTTGTAATGATCTACTCAAAATAAAGGCATGTCATGCCACTCATCCAAAGCATTTTAATTTTCACACCATAAAACAATACTTTGAAAAGTAAGAGCTTGCTTCTAAATTGGTTAATAGTTTTTATCAATTTAAATTTTTTCACTTATAGATGACACTGTACTAGATGTTATAAAATAATTATACTAAGGTGTCAACCTCCAAATTATGTCTATCTATAAAAAGGCAAATGTGTCTTCCTCATTTATTTATTTGCTTGATTTTTTGAGTAGCCATTTTATCTCCAACAGTCTACCAGAAACCTAAAGCCCTGATCTTATTCACATTTTCTGTAGTCTGATACCCCACCCAAGACAGTCTTATCACTCCATTTCCTCTCCTAATACAATGGATGTCCTTGCCGAGACCGGTTTAGGTTTAGCTCAATGGATAGAGCGTCGGCTTGGGGACTGAAGGGACCCGGGTTCGATTCCGGTCAAGGGCATGTACCTTGGTTGCGGGCATATCCCCAGTAGGGGGTGTGCAAGAGGCAAACTGATCGATGACTCTCTCTCATCGATGTTTCTAACTCTCTATCTCTCTCCCTTCCTCTCTGTACAAAATCAATAAAATAAAAAAATAAAAACCACAATGGATGTCCTTTCTTGCATTCCCTCTGTCTCTTGTCAGCTATTACTAGAAACCAATTTGAAGAAAGGTAATACTAACTGACATTGCATTTTCCTTAAAAATGCATTTAGAAGGTATTTTTTCATGTCTTCTTTCAAAGTAATAATACAGAAATTTCAGGCCTATCACCAGAGTTAGTGTTGACTTTTATAGACTATCTTCAGCATCTCATAGTGGTTATTTACAAAATTGTACATAGAAGGTCCCAGAGGAAACTGTTGGACCAAATGTTCACTCAAGAGAACATGCAGTCAATTCACCTAAAATAATATTGTCCACTTTATTTCATTACAGACTATTTTCTGATTTAAAACAGTGAGAAACTACAAAGCATGCCAAGTTTCTTTAACAATATATCTGTTGTTATTCAAATTCCTAAATGAAATATATTAAAATTCAGTTATGAATGACATTTAAATAAAGTCCTCTATTTTGCTAAACTGCCCTCTAAAATTATGGATTATTTAAAGAACATTCAAGAAAACAGGGGAATAAAATTGCCTACCCACCAAGAAATAATATATTATAGTATGCCTACATTTAAAAAGAGGAAGTACTAATGGCATCCAGCTGACCTATTACATGAGCACACACTGTTGGGGAGTCAGACATGACATCCCCAAAGCAAGGGAGGAGTAATTGAAGCCCTTCTAAGAAATATCAGTACAAAAATTTGACATTTTTTTAGTGGTTACCTCACAGGCTTTTGAAAGAATGACTATAAGAGAGCAAGCAATATTCACAAAGAGGGGGAATTTGGTTTAGTGGAATGAGTACATACTTGGGAGTCAGACAGACCTGGGTGAGAATGCCCCCCCTCTCCCACCACTGACTAGTTGTATGAAGTTGGGAAATAATGCCTTGCTAAGCCTTCATTCTCTAATCATAACATAGAAATAGAAAAGAATTTCACAGAATTCTTATGACAGTAAGCCATAAGATGATTAGCACAGTGCCTGGCACACACAGAGCCCTACAGAATCTTCCTCCTATGTTTCCCTCCCACTGCTTATAATGTATTATATGTTCTTGCTTTAACTGGATTTGATCTAACAACAAATTGTAGAACTGTAGAACATTTGGGAAACTCCTCAGGTTGAATGCCTAGTACAAAAGATTTAGATTCTCCAAGCACATGGTCCTTGTCATACAACTCACCCCACTGCATATTCACATGTCTCCTGGCCTTCTTCACATTGCCTGGGGGGAATGGGAGCTCGCTCAGGAAACCAACATAAGTGCAAATATTCTAGCTACTGGCTATCTTTTTGTGAATAATAAAGTTTTTTTTCCCCTCTGACCTGGAAGTCTTGGGTCTTCTGTTAGCATTCATGAAACTATGGCTGGCTAACTTATTTGCATAAAAATAGGGTAAAATCTCAAGTACCTCAAAGAGCTTGATGACTACCATTAAAATTTTGAGGTGAGGTTAATGTGACCATATGATGAATAAAAAGAATTACCGTCCCCCCCATAATAATATATTCAAATCAGGGTTTTTAAAAAGTTACCCACTAACACATGGAAATCCTGATTTCAGGGACAGAGGATGATTGAGCAGATATGTATGAGTCACGTCTGTTGGGTCATTAATTGGCAGTTGGAACGCTCAGCATCAAGAGCCAGGTCATATGCTGATGGCAATAAATTATTTCTTAAATTTTTAAAATATAGAGAGTTCAAATAAGTCATTCTGAAGTGTGCTTTGGCTATCCATGTCTTAAACCCTCCTATTCAGTCAACAAACTGGGAGGCACTCTGTAAAAAGAAGAGTGAATCTGAAAATCCCTATCAATGTTTTTTATAATCCAAAATTCCATTTTTTTTTTCGTTCTATACACCAACATATTCAAAAATTAACATTTACATCTGTTATCAGCTTGAAAACTCCCCTTGAGACCTCTCAGCCCTTCTTGCCATCACACTCATCAGTTTAAAAGAAAATAGACCTGGAAGAGGAGGAACAAGGATGAAAAGATGAAAAATGGAAATGGGGCTGACTTTGGCCAAGGATTTCTGAAGGTTTGTTTTGTTTTAAGTACTGATGTGCCCTTACCTGCACCTGTGTCAATCTCCAATTTGGTCAAGAGCTTCTCCCCCTCACCAGACTCAGCATCATACGGGTAGTGGCAGCCAGGTTCCACAGCTCCACCTAATATCTGTCCAACTGATTGCAGATTATATAAAATATCAAGAGGTATAAAAACAGGTCATGGGAACATTGCTATTTCACATCATTTCAGCATATGGGATTGATTTTAAAGCATTCACATGAATATGTAACCTTGTTTTAAAAATCTATTAATTAAATAGTTCCAATCTATGGTTTTAAAAAGAAAAGATAATAGATTATGAAGTAGAGATACCCATGCAAAGAAATGCTTGCATTAAAAAAATGACAACAGCCAGAAGCAGTGACAGATATGCAAGTGCACATGCAATAGAATGATTAGAAAAGGAGTTTGGTTGCCTTTTACTTTCCAGAAAGTTGTGTTATGGCTTTTAGAACACAAATCACCACTGCTGTTTTAAATTGTTAAAACTACCAGAGCTGACTATACTATTTTATTCATTAGTAGATTTTAGTGATTTGACCTCAATACTCATTCCATGTGGACAGAGGAAAAAAAGCTATTACAAGATTCCTATAAATTTGATATCAAAAGCTGTTATAGAAATTCCTGTTATCTGCAGGTGGTTACTAGCACAAAAATCTCAAGAACACAAAAACCAAAGTTCAAGTCCCATACTCCATACTAATCATGTCATCATGGGAAAGTTTTTAGCCTAAATCTAAACCTCAGTTTACCTATCTGTCAAATAGAGGTATATCTACTTAATGATTATTGGGAGAATTAAATACATGGGTTGGCAAAAATAGGTTTAAAGTTTTGAGTACATGAAATATAGTTTATTCTTATATTATTATTTATTGATTATTATATTATTTTCTACACAAATAACTGTAAATCTACTCCCCCATCCCGCCATTAAGAAAAATATATATGGAGCATACTTATCTTTCACTATTAGCAAGTGCTTAAGCACTTAGTAAATAATAGTTATGATCATGATGATGATGAGCATGGGTATTATATGTAGCATCACCCAATTTGATATGATTCTAGACAACACTGTAATATCAATTAAGTCTTTAGTTTCTGACATGTCCCAGTCTCCATTCCTTGCCTAGCATCTGATGAGCTATGTCCCTAATTCCCTGACATCTAGGATTATACTACTTTATGGTTAACAAAGCTCACTCAAGTAACACTCCATCTAGACCTGCCCTCCTAGATCAGACATGATCTCTCCAAAATATCCTTGCCTTTCTTCCTTCCTTCCTTCCTTCCTTCCTTCCTTCCTTCCTTCCTTCCTTCCTTCCTTCCTTCCTTCCTTCTTTCCTTTCTCCCTCCCCCTCACATTTCCTCCTTTCTTTCCTCTTAGATATTCTGATTCAGTTGAGGGACTTTGAAAACAATATAACTAGAATGGGGTCTCTTGCTTGGTTTAAGATTAATTCTAAGTTAGCTACTTACTGATTTCTCTTGTTTAGAAACAGAGTGTAATGTCTGTCTTATTAGCTTTGGGGAAGGAGGCAATAGAATGACTTTACATTAATCTTAAAGGAACAAGAATGGAAAAAAGAAGAGGTGCATCATATAGTTCAAATGTATTCCCTTTAAAATTTTTTTTTGAACATCTATTTTCCTCATTCATACAATATGCCAAATAAAAATGTTTTTAATAGTTCAGAGATGACATCAACTTATGAAAATTAGGTTATAGTTGGGTTTGTTATCAAGTCATCCTTTATTTTAGGAACTTTAGAAACATGTAAGCTAAATATCATCTTCCTCATTCCAATAATGTTAACACTGCATAACTAGAGAGTTTAAACAAGCAGTGTTTTAGGTTTTTGCATATAAATCTGCTTGGCTGACTGAGCATTAGAAATCCCAAGGATGGTACAAGAGGGCAAAGGGAAGAAGTCTGATTTTGTAGCAATTACTCGGAGCTTTGTTTCATTAGAGCCAACAAGACATCTAAGGTTTATTTCCAAGTAGTCCATAGGCTGTAAAGAAATATGGTTTATTATACAAATATCGAATCATTATGTTGTATATCTAAAATTGTATTATACCTCAATAAAAATTTTTAAGAAATAAGTTTACACTAATAATAAGCAATAATGAAAATAATAAGCAGCTATTGAACCAAAAAAATTATTCTAAGAAGCCAAACAGCAGTAGTATAATTTGAACATTACAACTCACTCAGGATTGACAGTGTAGCATGAAGTCCCTCTGTCTCAGGACTGTAACCACGAGTTGCCCATGTCTGCTGGCTTGCCCTTGGAGGGTTATGCTTTGGAAGTAGATGAAAACCTGTACAGTTAGCTGTTGCCTGCTTCTGATTCAGCAAGAATGAGACCCTAGCCTGAGCATCAAGGGCTTATTAGGTGTGAGATCAGAAAATACCTAACTTGGTCATTTTTCTCCCAGTTCTTGTGAAACTGAATCTTAAAAGCAAGAATTTGGCCAGTGTCCAACCTTAACCATTTTTGACCTGTATTAAGGGAGGACTGCATGCTGAGACTCCCAGACCAGTAATCACTTTGTTCTCTCTAGTTAGCCCTTCATCCCTCAAGGGTCCTCTCTTTTACCTCTCCATAAAGATGACCATGAAAAGCAAAGGTCATTGTCAGATCTCATAGCTTTGTAGCAAAATAGAAGAGAGTCATATAGTGAATTTCTTAGAAAAGCTTTTTTGTCAACTCAAATGATATAGGCTATTTTAAGATGTTTTTAAACACTCACATATTCTTGTGTTTTTATTATAAAAGTGTGTATTTAAAAATAATATGTACTGTATTTTCCCTAAATATAAAAGTAGTACATATTCATTATCTAAAGCTTAAAAAGATAAAAAGAGAAAATAAAAATTGCCCTAACTCATAAAGAATTATTAGTTAACATTTTTATATATTTTTGAGTATTTTTTACTCTACCGAATATAGATAGCATTTTGTATTCCATTTTATTCATGTAGCAATATATTGTGACCAATTCACTAACCATTAAATAAACCATTTCTTAAATAACTGCATAAAATTTTCTAATATTTACTAAAACTTTGTTAACAAATTGCCTATTTGATATTGAGTTATATTCTTTTGTATGTGCATGATTATAAAGCTATATTAAATACCACTTAAAATCATTTTTTATTTATTTTTTACTATTTCCTTAAGATAAATTTCTGAAGTTGCAATTGTTGGGCCAAACAACATAGTGTTTTTAAATGCTTTTGATAAATTTTTATCATTCTTTTTTTTTTTAATTTTTATCATTCTTTAGAAAAGGAGGTATCAATTAGCAATTTTACCGATAATGACAAATGGTCTTATGTCCCTGTACTATTGGCAACAATCTCACAATTTCCAACAATTCTTTCTATATTGATAATTTAGTAATTAGAAGTGGTGGCAAGAATATGATTTCAATATTAGTAGGCAAGCTTTCTAAATTAATTCCCTTTCCTCTGCTTGTTTTGAAACAAAATAAATTTCATCTTAGAACATGCTAAGAATCCTGAGTAATTCAATAACAAAAGAAAGTTTTACCAAGGACTTTTCATCTGAATTTTAAGAATGTAAAAAGGCCATAAAAGCAGAAAAACTATATATCCAAATTTGTTTCAAGTTTCTGGTCACCTTGAAAACTATTCCTGTGCTTTGATCATTCTTTGTGTAACCAATCAATTATCTTCCCAACAAGTCACCATGACAAAATGCATGACTAACATCATCCACCTACACAGTAAAGATGCTCCTGCATTGCCTTTGGCATTGACACATAGCTCATAAACACTCAAGATTAATTACAAACTCAAGACCACAGCTGTTCAAAGGTAGCCACTGCAGAAAGCTAACGTCTATCCTCCTCACTATCCAGCTATAGTGATCTTTTCACAACTTTGGATTATGTCATTTCTACACTTAAATTTTTCCAATAGCTTCCTGTCTCAGAATAAAATCCTCCACATGGCACAAAGTGTCTCATCTTGATTGTCCATTCTTTTCTTATTACATTGGCCTACTTTTCAATCCTTCATTCAGCAACTGTGCCCCCAATTTAGAGTCTTTGCATTTGTTGTTCCCTCTCTTTCTTCTTACTTCAGATGACAGAGTGGCTTACCTCTGCATTTCATTCAGGTCTCAGCTCAAATGTCCCCTCCTCAGAGAGCCCATCCTTAAAATACTAACCCTTCCTCAAACCATCACTCTTTTCCCTCACCCAGATTTATTTTTCCTCCAGTAATTTGCCTAGATACTGCAGGACTTTTTTATTTTCACTTATTTATTTTCACAGATATACATCTCCCTCTAGAATATAAATTTCAATATAATCATGGACTTTGTTATGTTCACATGAATAACTGTATGGATTAAGCAAATACCCAACAAATATTTATTGACAAAAAGTCTATTGGAACAAACAACTACATGCTTTCAGATTTCACTCAAAAGTTTACTTATTTATTTATTTATGTATTTTCAAATTTGGAGGAATTTCTTTTTAAAAATTAATTTGCTATTAATTTATTGGGGTGATATTGGTGATTATGATTGGGGTGATGAAATTATATAGGTTTCAGCTATATGATTCTATATTACATTTGTATATTGTTTTGTGTGTTTACCTTAGACTGCAACACATAACACATGGCATTCTTTCCCTTTTTTCAGAACTATTCTATCTTGCTTGCATGGTAATAAAATTGCATTTCACTTTAGTCTCACAACATTATTTAGGTTTGAATTACCTGGCCAAGCATCACGCCTTCTCCTGATTCACATACAAAAGTATAAAATGCCTAATTCTGTACACATTTTACATTATACTTTACACTACAATGCTTTATTCTTAATATTTTATTTATATTCATAATGTATAACATATTAACTTCACAAATTAATACTTCTGAATTGTTTCACCATTAAGACATATTGCAAAGATTGTGTCATCATGTATTGAGGCAACTTAAGCTAAATATAAGAGAAAAATAAGCACACTAAAATAACACTATGTCCTATAATACTAAATTGACTTCCAAAGACACTCTCATAGAAGCCAGCAATTATAATCTTCTACATTTTCTATT